GGAGCCGCCTGTCACCAGAGGGCGACAGGGGCTCGTGTGAAAAAGGTTTCAGTCTGAGAAAGATCCAGGGGAGGTTTTTCGACGGACAAGATGTCGGAGCTGCGATACACCAAGGATGGTGTTCCTATCTTCGATGGCGCTCCAGAGTTGTTTGTTTCTTACAAGAGAGCAGCTCTGGTGTATGCTGAGACGATCGAGTGGAAGAAACGTACCTTGGTTGGGCCTCGACTGCAGGCAGCCTTAGAAGGAAGCGCTAAGCTTGCCGTGGAACATATGCCGCCAGGGTGGGTGTCCCACGAGAAGGGTGCTTGGCAGCTGCTGGATTACCTGAGGCTTCAGGTAAGGGCCCCTACCTTGGCAGAGGCTGGAAGGACCATGGCTCGTTTCTTCTATGGAGTGAAGCGGCGCAGAGGTGAGGGAATGGCTGCTTGGATCGTTCGGCATGATGAAGCGCTCTTGGAGGCGAAGAGAACTCTTGCGGAGGCGATTCATGAGTATGGACCCAGTCAGGGCAGACCTGACCACGGTTCTTCTGGTCGTCAGTGGATGTCTCAACCTTCTCTAAGGACCTCGCATGGAGCTCGAGAGACTGGCTCCACTACCTCAGAACGTCGGTCACATCGAGGTGGAGGTACTCCACTTGCAACTGAGGCCGAGGCAGACGCTGAGGAGCCAGAACATGATGAAGAGAACGGCGAGGCAGAGGATGAGTGGGGAGACACCTGGTGGCAAGAGGACAACTGGTCATGGCATGGCTGGAATTCCCAAGCAACGTATGGGCCTGCAGACGATTCCTGGAAGCAGAAGGAATCAATGAGCCAGCGCAACTGGGATGTTTCAGAAGCTGCTTCCAAGGAAGCAGAATCCTTCCTTCCCGACTTCGTGATCGCGTGGCTTCTCCTGCAGCGGTCAGGTCTGGATGCTACAGACAAGAGCGTGATTGTAGCAAATCTGAAAAACCAGTTTCGCACCGATCGCGTCAAGGAGGCATTGAAGTTAACCTGGCCAGATGAGGAACTGCGCAAGCGCGATGCCGGGCGCGGTGCAGCCTTATTCTCAGTGGAAGAGGCTGCAATGATGGCCGAGGAGGATGAGCCCGAGGAGGACGTACAGCCTACTTGGGAGGATCCCAGCGACGACTATGCCTACCAAGCCTTGGAAGCAGAAGCACAGGAGGCTTACGCAACAGTGGTGGACGCCAAGAGAACCCTACGGGATGCCAGGGAGAAGCAAGCAATGATGCGGCGCAACCGGAACTTCTACTCAGGCAAGAGTTCCGGGAAGGGCAATACCGGGAAATTTTCCTCGTTCTCGGGCCGACCACCACCAAAGTGTTTCCGATGCGGGGGTCCCCATTTCCGGAGGGACTGTCCTCAGCAGGAGCCGAGTCGTGCCCCGGAGCAGGCCGCCAACCTGGTATTCATGACGACGCAAGAGGAGACCACTGGGAACGATGCAGCTGCCGAGCCAGAATGGCTCGATGGAGTCGCACTCGCGGCCCAACCGCTCGACGAGCACAACCTGATGGTGCTGGACCGCGTGATCCAGGAGGGCAAGGCGATCATCGATGGTGGTGCTACAAGCAGTTTGGGCTCCGAGGATGCTGTTCAACGGATTGCCGAGCTGAACTGGGAAACTCAAGGAAGTGATGGCCTGGAAATCATTCCAGGGGAGGCCCCAGCTTTCCGCTTTGGCAACAATGGGCGGCACGAGTGCATGTCGACTGCTCTGTTGAATCTCAACCTGGGAGGCGCCTCGAGCA